GGGGCCGGCCGTTTCATGCTGGAGCCGCCGGACCGGGTGGCAGCCTCGCCAGTCCGGTGGCATTCCTCTCACTAACACTGAAGGAGGAGGAGGAGGAGGAGCATGTGTCTGTCATGCTCCTTTGTGGATCCCACATCTTGTGCTGTGAAGTGTGGGAACCGCAGGGAGCATGATAGACACATGCTCCTCCTCCTCCTCCTCCTTCAGCATTAGTGAGAGGAATGCCGCCGGACCGGCGAGGCTGCCACCCGGTCCGGCGGCTCCAGCATGAAACGGCCGGCCCCCTCACAGTGTGCCACCGGGCCGGCCACCCGGTGGCACCTGCAGTCCCCAAATGCTGCCCCCAATCCAGCCCTGCTGCCGGGCCCCCTGAAGGCGGCCCTGGCGGCGGGCCCCCCTCCCGGCCGGGCCCTCGGACCGTGTCCGAAGTGCCCAACCGGTCAGTCCGCCCCTGCCCTCAACCCCTCTGTTCCTGTGTGCCAACTTGTCTGGTTACAATTACATGTTTGTTCGTCCACCCACTGTAAAGCGCTGAGGAATTTGTTGGCGCTATATAAATAATAACATAATAATAATAATAATAATCTATTGTCAGTGAGTGAGGGTAAGTACCCCCTCCAGTCTCTCTGTTGTCAGTGAGTGAGGGTAAGTACCCCCTCCAGTCTCTCTCTTGTCAGTGAGTGAGGGTAAGTACCCCCTCCAGTCTCTCTGTTGTCAGTGAGTGAGGGTAAGTACCCCTTCCAGTCTCTCTGTTGTCAGTGAGTGAGGGTCAGTGCCTCCATTAAAAACATTTCACCAGACACAATTCATGCAACAGTAGCACCCAGATCTCTGAGGATCCAGACATTATGAAGAGAAATAGGAGATTGATTTTTAACCTGCCAAATCTGAGCGCATAATGTATTGTCTGTATAAGATGCTGTCTGCTACAAAGAAGGATTTCAGCTACTTCAATTTGGGATCATGGCCATTTCATAAGGAATGCAGTCGCTGTCACTGGCTGTCAGCAAGGGTGGTCTCTTATTATTCTGAGAATAGAGTTTGTGCCAGTAATTTCATAGCTCTCAATATGTCCATCTCTTATAGCTACCTCCTTGGATTAACATACATACATAAGGTAGAGCTTCTTGCATAAGCGTTCAGTAAATATCTGAACAAGCACTTACCATCTGAGTCATATGTGGTTTATGACTCCTGACTTGTGAGTGACACCATATACGTCTTTCTATAGATTACTTCTGTTACAATATTGCGCTATTTGTGCTTTGTATTTATATTATAACAGATATTTACTGAACGCTTATGCAAGAAGCCCCACCTTATGTATGTATGTTTTTTCTGTATCTTGTAGAGGTGGTTTAGGGGATACCACTCACGGTGTTTGAGCTTCACTGGTTATCTTGTAGACTCCATATTGTTCACTTGTCTATTGATTTTGTACCTCCTTGGATTAGACTTTAAAAAATGTAAATCCTGACTATGGGGAGATTGATGCTAGAACATGTTCGGTGACCATTTATCTATAGGAAATGGTGTAGTGCCTATAATAGACTATTTTTACCGTGTAACTGGAGTGACTGTGTCAAATAATCTACCCCACCAAGCAGTTTGTGCACAAGAGAATGTTAATCTGTTGAAATCAAAGTTACATTGATGGTTTTTCGAATTCGACAACCTTGAGCTTAAATTTGACATTTTTACATTGCAATCACTTTGATTTCCTGATAATTAACTGATTAGAATAAAACCCTGTGTGTCCCTGGGTAGTACCCAACCCTATCAGAACCATTGCAAGAGAGGGGATATTATGCATTCTCTAACTCAACATGTTTCAGCAAAGGAATACACCCCCAAAAAATGAAATTTGTGAAAGTTTACATATTTGTTATTAAACAAAAAATTAAGTTGCTATGATACATTTATGTGATAGCTCACATCATTCCGTGTTTCCAATCTTTCTTCCAATTTACATTATTTATTTAAAATGAAAAAAGCTTGCTAGTGAAGGGTAAAAATGTTTGGGATATATTCCAGACCAATCCTAGTAAAATAATAACGCAATATTTTGCCCAAATAGAAAGGTATCGGACAGAATGCTTAAAATATTGCAAAAGCACAATAAATAAATAAAACTATTTAATTCAGTAGATTCTCACAAAACCAGAAAAAAATATAAAACACAACAAACAAACATATATATTAGCAATGATAATGCAAGATATAAAAAGAAATTGCTTAATTGTCCGGTTTATAAGCAAGTATGAAACAGACACATCCGGAAAGTCTAAACAGCGCAATCTTTGTAAAGGTAAAAAAAAAATTGCATTGCAGCGTATAAACAATCCACTTGTGGGCCTCCGACTTCCCATCAAATTATTGGATAAGAAATCTGGCAGTTAGAAATGAGTCTTTATCAGTGTTCAGATCTATATGTAGGAAATGTGTCAGTTCTGTGGAGTTTCTGTGGATTGGAGAGGTCTTCTCGTGAACACAATTCATACAAGAGAAAAAGAAAGTAGTGGTTATTATACCAGCGTTAAACTATATTAATACTGTTACCATTAGAAATAATATCTACATCAGCTCTTAATCTTTATACATTTGACGGCTTTTGTTGAAAATAATTAATGCATGCTCAAATTTGTATTGAAACATATCTGTGCATCCGGGTAGGCCGATCACTTAATTATCTGGGCGGCAACTTGTACACCTGTTAGCACTATATAAAAATAATATACATACACTGTATACCTACTGCACTTACTGTACCTCCCTCTACTGTAATGTAACCTGTAACATGCTGAGTACACCTGTTAGCGCTATATAAATAAAATATACACACATTGTATACCTACTGTACTTACTGTACCTCCCTCTACTGTAATGTAACCTGTAAAGTGCTGAGTACACGTTAGCACTATATAAATATAATATACATACACTGTATACCTACAGCACTTACTGTACCTCCCTCTACTGTAATGTAACTTGTAAATTGCTGAGTACACCTGTTAGCGCTATATAAATATAGTATTCATACACTGTATACCTACTGCACTTACTGTACCTCCCTCTACTGTCATGTAACCTGTAAAGTGCTGAGTACACCTGTTAGCGCTATATAAATAAAATATACATACACTGTATACCTACTGCACTTACTGTACCTCCCTCTACTGTCATGTAACCTGTAAAGTGCTGAGTACACCTGTTAGCGCTATATAAATAAAATATACATACACTGTATACCTACTGCGCTTACTGTACCTACCTCTACTGTAATGTAACCTGTAAAGTGCTGAGTACACCTGTTAGTGCTATATAATTAATAATATATATACACTGTATACCTACTTCCCTTACTGTACCTCCCTCTACTGTAATGTAACCTGTAAAGTGCTGAGTACACCTGTTAGCGCTATATAAATAAAATATACATACACCGTATACCTACTGCACTTACTGTACCTCCCTCAACTGTAATGTAACCTGTAAAGTGCTGAGTACACCTGTTAGTGCTATATAAATAAAATATACATACACTGTATACCTACTGCACTTACTGTACCTCCCTCTACTGTAATGTAACCTGTAAAGTGCTGAGTATACCTGTTAGCGCTATATAAATATAATATACATACACTGTATACCTACTGCACTTACTGTACCTCCCTCTACTGTAATGTAACCTGTAAAGTGCTGAGTACACCTGTTAGCGCTATATAAATAAAATATACATACACTGTATACCTACTGCACTTACTGTACCTCCCTCTACTGTAATGTAACCTGTAAAGTGCTGAGTACACCTGTTAGCGCTATATAAATAAAATATACATACACTGTATACCTACTGCACTTACTGTACCTCCCTCTACTGTAATGTAACCTGTAAAGTGCTGAGTACACCTGTTAGCGCTATATAAATAAAATATACATACACTGTATACCTACTGCACTTACTGTACCTCCCTCTACTGTAATGTAACCTGTAACATGCTGAGTACACCTGTTAGCGCTATATAAATAAAATATACATACACTGTATACCTACTGTACTTACTGTACCTCCCTCTACTGTAATGTAACCTGTAAAGTGCTGAGTACACCTGTTAGCGCTATATAAATATAATATACATACACTGTATACCTACTGCACTTACTGTACCTCCCTCTACTGTAATGTAACCTGTAAATTGCTGAGTACACCTGTTAGCGCTATATAAATATAAATATTCATACACTGTATACCTACTGCACTTACTGTACCTCCCTCTACTGCATGTAACCTGTAAAGTGCTGAGTACACCTGTTAGCGCTATATAAATAAAATACATACACTGTATACCTACTGCACTTACTGTACCTCCCTCTACTGTAATGTAACCTGTAAAGTGCTGAGTACACCTGTTAGCGCTATATAAATAAAATATACATACACTGTATACCTACTGCACTTACTGTACCTCCCTCTACTGTAATGTAACCTGTAAAGTGCTGAGTACACCTGTTAGCGCTATATAAATAAAATATACATACACTGTATACCTACTGCACTTACTGTACCTCCCTCTACTGTAATGTAACCTGTAAAGTGCTGAGTACACCTGTTAGCGCTATATAAATAAAATATACATACACTGTATACCTACTGCACTTACTGTACCTCCCTCTACTGTAATGTAACCTGTAAAGTGCTGAGTACACCTGTTAGTGCTATATAAATATAATATACATACACTGTATACCTACTGCACTTACTGTACCTCCCTCTACTGTAATGTAACCTGTAAAGTGCTGAGTATACCTGTTAGCGCTATATAAATAAAATATACATACACTGTATACCTACTGCACTTACTGTACCTCCCTCTACTGTAATGTAACCTGTAAAGTGCTGAGTACACCTGTTAGCGCTATATAAATAAAATATACATACACTGTATACCTACTGCACTTACTGTACCTACCTCTACTGTAATGTAACCTGTAAAGTGCTGAGTACACCTGTTAGCGCTATATAAATATAATATACATACACTGTATACCTACTGCCTTACTGTACCTCCCTCTACTGTAATGTAACCTGTAAAGTGCTGAGTACACCTGTTAGCGCTATATAAATAAAATATACATACACTGTATACCTACTGCACTTACTGTACCTCCCTCTACTGTAATGTAACCTGTAAAGTGCTGAGTACACCTGTTAGCGCTATATAAATATAATATACATACACTGTATACCTACTGCACTTACTGTACCTCCCTCTACTGTAATGTAACCTGTAAAGTGCTGAGTACACCTGTTAGCGCTATATAAATATAATATACATACACTGTATACCTACTGCACTTACTGTACCTCCCTCTACTGTAATGTAACCTGTAAAGTGCTGAGTACACCTGTTAGCGCTATATAAATAAAATATACATACACTGTATACCTACTGCACTTACTGTACCTCCCTCTACTGTAATGTAACCTGTAAAGTGCTGAGTACACCTGTTAGCGCTATATAAATAAAATATACATACACTGTATACCTACTGCACTTACTGTACCTCCCTCTACTGTAATGTAACCTGTAAAGTGCTGAGTACACGTTAGCACTATATAAATATAATATACATACACTGTATACCTACAGCACTTACTGTACCCCCCTCTACTGTAATGTAACCTGTAAAGTGCTGAGTACACCTGTTAGCGCTATATAAATATAATATTCATACACTGTATACCTACTGCACTTACTGTACCTCCCTCTACTGTCATGTAACCTGTAAAGTGCTGAGTACACCTGTTAGCGCTATATAAATAAAATATACATACACTGTATACCTACTGCACTTACTGTACCTCCCTCTACTGTAATGTAACCTGTAAAGTGCTGAGTACACCTGTTAGCGCTATATAAATAAAATATACATACACTGTATACCTACTGCACTTACTGTACCTCCCTCTACTGTAATGTAACCTGTAAAGTGCTGAGTACACCTGTTAGCGCTATATAAATAAAATATACATACACTGTATACCTACTGCACTTACTGTACCTCCCTCTACTGTAATGTAACCTGTAAAGTGCTGAGTACACCTGTTAGTGCGCTAAATAAATAAAATGAGTACCTGTTAGTATATAAATATAATATACATACAGTGTATACCTACTGCACTTACTGTACCTCCCTCTACTGTAATGTAACCTGTAAAGTGCTGAGTACACCTGTTAGTGCTATATAAATATAATATACATACAGTGTATACCTACTGCACTTACTGTTATATAACATGTAAAGTGCACCTGTGATATAAACTTTATATACATACTCATTCAGAGATCATAGAAATAAAATACCAATTGTCGCCACTAGCTGGCAGTATTAGCTAGTATGAGAGATACATTTATTGGTAGTTTGAGCTGAGAAGTGTTTTAATGTGATTACTGGTAAAGTTCATAGAGTCAAGTGTTTAAAAAATAATCGAGAAAAAACCTTTTACTTGACGCAGGATAATTATAAATTCCAAGCAAGATCTGCGAAGTGAGTCACTGTGGGAATCAATCGCCTGACTAAATCTTACACCCAAATAATTTAGATTGATGTAGATAATTTAGAAATGTATTTACAGAAAATATAACTTAGCATTCTTATTCTAAATTTGATTTAATTATATTTGTTGATTTCAATGAGGAGACTACGCCCGCCCTTTAATAGGTAAACCGATTTAGCTTTCATTAGCAGAAGGATGATTAGTAGCGAGTTAGACCTTTCAATGAATGAATTTTCAGATTAGAGGGGGAGGGGTTCTACAATGTCAATTAATAATA